TTTTCACTCACACCACCCACAAAAATAAAAACTAAAATATAATTTAAGAAAAATAGCAGAACCTCCCTAATCGCAGTAGAAAGCCTATAAATCAATAAGCTGCAATGATTTTGCCATGGTGTAGATAAGATCCGAAAGGGACTTGACTCTTTTCACGGAAATGTCATGCTAAAGATACATTTCAACCACTTTTGCTCTAGGTTATCTGTGGTTTCTCTATCCCATATCCTAACAATTTTCTTAGTCAATAGCAGCCCTCTGCAGTACCTGTTTTCTAGTTTAGTTTAGCCTAAAGTAGGATCCTATACTTGTTGGGAGTTAGAAAATGATTTGTAAAGAGGGCTTGGTTATGGTGAAAAGTATCAACTTCCTAAATAACCTTATTCCCTACAGAACAATGCGACCAAAAATGAGAGCTGCTGGCTCTGTTTGGACGGCCTTAGTAGTAGTCAAGATGCCAATTACCCTAGGACCCAGCAGTAGTTTTAGGACCTGATTGCATTATGATCATCCATGATCTCTCCAGAATCCTGGACCACTAGTATACTAGGGGGTAAGTATAAGTATGGTGAACTCATGCCTATTGTCATGAATGTAGATTGGCACAGAGAAGGTTTTCACATGACTCATGATTATGAGTCATAGGTATGTAATTGTTTCATGCATATGACTCATTTAGGCTACATGACCTGTTATGTTATGATTTGTTATATTTTGCACATGACTCGATTATGAGTCATGGGACATACGCCTGGCGAGTATGCCTTGCAAGTATGCCTTACGGGTATGCCTTGTGCATATGATATATGTTTTGCACATAACCTCAATACAAGGTCATGGGTTTCATGCGTATGACCACTTGGAGTCATATAACTTGTTTATTGTATTATGGTTAGTTTATGAGTTTTTGTACATGATCTTATTATGAGGTCATAGGTTTTAAGCATGTTACCACTTTGGTTATATGACTAGTTTGTTATGATTTAGCTTCACACATATGACTACTTTGGGTCACATGACTTAGGGTGGGAAGAATACTATATAAGGAGACTGGTACGGCTGAGGAGGATAGGTTCTTCACGCTTTGTTATAAGTACTTTTCCTCACCCTTGCCATCACTTCACCTCAAGTATTTCTTTCACCCACATGTTGGGCCTTGATGCTGGAGATTCTGGGGAAGATATCTGAGTTCACTCAGTAGTTCCTAGGGTTCGTGGTGTCGAGGTCTGTCTGTATTGTGTGGCAGATTACTTGTTTGCACCGTTTCGTCGCTTGCGGTTATCTCATGATACTGGCACTTTGAGCTCTTCATCACTGTTGCTTATGAGTCCATTTCGGTAAAATGTCTTCAGCTTCCTGCCTATGGTCTACTCGCAGGTTTCGTGTTCAATTGGGGGGATTGAACATTGTATCTGGGGGAATCACCCGTGTTGTTCTTTGGTCAGCTCATGTTTCTTGTTGAGTTTTAATAGAATCCTTAGTTCTCATATTACAAAATACCCGCTAGTTCACTTGATAACTATTCTGTATCCTCAAAACGTCTTACCAGCCACATCACTTCTCAGGTTACAGGACAGTACCTGCCCAGCACCTCCTCATTATGTTACATTTCTACAGTCAGAATTTTACGATGTTGTTTATCGCCATTTCCTTGAAGCTTTTGTACTTGCAGCATTTACAGTGATTCAGTCAGGTGTCTCCTCCTCACCTCGGTGGGGATGGCTTTGATCCTCAAAAATCTTACACTCTGGACAGCTATTGTTATTGCCTGCGGTGGTGTGAGACGATTGGCTGCCAGACACTCGCGTTGTCTATGTGTTTGGGTGGCTCAGTTGTGGATTGTAGTTAGCAGCTTCACCCATTGCAAGTGGCATCTACCATCTGTTGTTCTGCTCCAGTTAGCTCGCCCTCCCCCTTCCTGTCACATTAGTTGGGGGCACCTGTTGCCTGTCATTGGGTCTGTACCTATTGCCGGACCTGCAGGACTGGCTTTGACTAGCTCTGCTTACTTTTTCCCGACTTTGTTGGACTTCAGTTCAACTAGGTTGTATGGTGGGCTTGTGCCTGTGCCTTCAGGTATTGGTACTACCTCCTTTGTAGCTTCCAGCTGTGGCTAGTAGGCCCCCCTTGGCTACGTGATGTCAGGGGATGCGGCTCTACTGGTATGGCCAAGACTAGTAGCTGCCTGATATGGCTAGGTATAGGCTGTCGTGTGGCTGTCGGATAGTTGATCTGTCTGAGGAGCTCCGGGGACTAGATGGGCTCTGCGATGTCTGGTGTGTGGGGCTTAGAGAGGGCTGACTGGGAGGAGAGAGGCGCCTGTAAGCACTGGTCTGGCCTGCATCAGGTTGGGCAAGATCTAATTAAGTATTTCCAGTCTGGCTTGGGCTGTTGGGCGAAGCTGAGTGCTATAAAACTCTCTGATGGACCGGCTGGCTGATAGCCACCTGTGCAGATAGTGGGTTGCAACCACCTGGTTGAACTTCTTTGAGCCTTGCGGGCCAGATTTTATAGTGTTAGTTTGGTTTATTTAATTTGGTTTTGGGTACGGCGGGAAGAGGTACGGCACCACAGGTGGAAGATAGGCTCCACTGACCTTCACATTCTGTTAGTACCTCTATGTATTTCCTTTATCTGTATTGTTATTATTTGGGAGACAGGGAGCGGGTACAGGTCCTCCTCATGAGTATGCTCTTCGGAGGTAACTGGCAAAGTGGGTTTATAGGGTCGATGGCCTGGCATGCAGGTGTGAGAGGTGGACATGTTGGTTGCCTCCTCCCTGCCATTGTGTCGCCTGTAGGTTTAGTTTGTGTTATTGGTTTTCTACTATAGTGGAGGTTTTTGCTGAATGGTATTTAGGTTAGGGGGTAGTAGTATTTATTTTTTGGACGAGGAACCTGGTCGGGTTGGTCTTTTACATGGCTTCATCTACACTTATTGCTAGTTTACTTTATATAAGAGGGGCTACAGAGTTGGACCGAGGTGGATGCTAGATAATTTAATGGTCTTGTAATTAGTTTTTGTGCAGGCCTGACTCAGAGATTGTAGGTGCAGGGCCGTAGACTTAGTCAGCTTAGGATTGGTAGTATACTGGTTAGCGGTATCCCTGTACTGGCAGGGGCTCATCGTATGCCAGTGTTGGTAGTACGAGTTTAAATAAAATTTGAATAACTTCTAAGTACATTTCCTATTTATTACTTTAATGAATATGAAACACCTTTATGCTCGTTATCAATATCATAACCTTTATTATTATTATGCCAAGAAAGCTCTTCATGAAAAAGAGTTAGAAAAAGCTTACAATAGGCATTCCTGGTAGAAGATAAAGGTCTTATACTATTAGTAACATAGGCAAAGATCTAGTGCTATCATAATGAGTGAAGAAGAAAGAAGAGAACTATTATTCCCCATTGCCAAGAACTAACTATCTGAACAGGGATTGTTACACCTATAGGCTAGAATTTATATGAGAATACATGTGAGCTGCATATGTGATTGGTGGTTTCTTGTTGCTATGGACCTAATTTTGGTAGTGGAAAAATGTTTAGTGAACTTTGTTTCACAGTGTTTATAAGAAAAATGTGAGAACCCAAACAGTTGTTTTAAGAAATTTATACAAGTATGAGAACCGCATATTTAAGGAACCTATGGGAGTATATATACAAGACTTAAACTAATATGAAGTAGCATTTCCACCCACCTCTATAACAGCAGCAAGCCTTGCCAGCATACTGTCTACCTATGTAAGAAGCTAGTCTAGGGTAATGGTTCTCCAAGCAGCATGTAATATTAGTAATAAATTATTTGTATTTTGAGCTTACTCGTAAATTTGTCCTAGCTCTGTTTTAATATCTGCCCAAAGGTCTTCAATCAGGTTTAGGTCAGGAGACTATGGGGGCCAGGGTATACTATCAAGTCTGTTTTGTTGTCAACAAGTGATAGCATACTTCTTGTATCCCAGTGCACTATCCTCTACTACCTTTGTCCACCCATAGACCTCATATGTATTATGCCAAAAAGGGATTAGGAGAGAATCAAGGATATACTTAGTATATTTCTCTGAGTCCAAAGTAGTTCCAGGAGGAACTATACACAGTGGAGACTTTAGCTCTCTATAAGAAGCACCCTAGACCATGACTGATGTATGACCAGATTCCCAAGTTTCATCAATACAGTCTTCATAAATCTCTTCCTCTGGCGGTCTTATAATTCAAGGTTTGTGGCTAAATCAAGCTGTACTAAAGGTGAATTCATCGGTCTAAACTGTCATCAACTATTCCTTCCTATTCCAATTGAAATGATCTTGGCACCAGGCAATCCTTCTGGGCTTATTATAGAGACTGATGCCCCATCTAGATAAGTTAGATTTAATTTTAGCATTTAACTTTTAAGCACAAAATAGACTGCTTTCCAGACCACCCGGACATGTCCCTCATCCTTATAACTTAGCTCAAATAAGAAGCTTTCAAGTGGTTTACTTAGATAAACTGTGACTACTATGCTGATCACCACTTATTTCCTCATATAAAATCTAGAAATAAAGATCGATAAGATTCCAAGGTGCACTACTACATGGCCTTTCTAACTACATGTATACTTGATCCTTGACCCATCCTAATTTCTAGAGTTTATATGAGGAAACAAGTGGTGATCAGCATAGTAGTCACAATTTATCCAAGTAAACTACTTGAAAGTTTCTTATTTGAGCAGAACTATACTAATATGATAGTGTCTGGGCCGAGTGAGAGGATGTCTGGGGTTTAAAATGGGTGTAAACAACTTACTTTTTCCTTGGTAAACCCTTGTAATAATCCATAGAGGCCATAACATCCCTAATTGTTCGTACAGAACAATTATACCCTATCTCAACGATTATTTCCTCCCACTGAAGCCTCCAGGTCCTTTTGTCTTGAGTAACAAAAGCCCAAAGTCTCTCCTTCTCCCCAGCATTGAACAAGACTGGACGTCCTAGGCGTGGCTGATTCGAGGACGATCCATGAATGTCAAATGCGGAGCAGCCAAGCCCAAAAGAGCCGACATCTCTTTGTGTGTGCAGGTCTTGGCGCGGCGTCAAAGAGGAGAGCCCCGAGCCACGCCTCCACTGTGAGGCTCCTCTCCCATCTTCAACTGCTTCAGCATCTCCTGGGCTCCATCTATCTTTTCTACCCCGGCTTTGCACCCTGCCAATTAATTCATCACAGATCCTAATCATCAACATGGTACTTGGGATTCCCCACCTGCTGCACCCATGCTCAGCAATCTTACTAACCGCGAATAAAGCTTCTTCTCGAGTATCACAACTTGCTGCTGAAGTCGATCCTAACTGAGCGATTCAATAGGTACTATTACCATCCGATTGACCCTTCGGCAAACTAACCGGGTGCTGCTACAGTGCAACTGCAGCCTCAATCGATCAGGTCATCTCCGACTTTGACGGAGTAACATTTCACATTTCCACTCCGGAGACTAAATCTAAGATACTTGTCTCCATCTCTGTTAAATGCTATCCAGATCTCCTCCGGCATGGAGCCCAACAAGTCCTTGAACGAGAGTATGGACAGCACATCACTGAAACGGAAACTGGATATGACTTCTCCTTGATGGTTGATTTGGAAAATCTCCCGGCGGAACAAGGTTCCCCCCTCCATCTACTCTGGTTGATGGCGATAGTTGAAGTAGATGATTACTGACGAATGTGGGGTGAGCTTGCAGAAGCTAAGGAAGACCTAGTCCGTCGCATATCGCTGTTGAAACGTAATACTATGGCAGCACCTTTTGAAAAGGCTATCGATGAGCACCACCGTCTCGCGGAAGCCTCTAAGGGATTCAATCCCGAGAATGCACCTACAGGGGAGGGGACCGAGGTTATGGTTATTCGATATAGAGAAGAGGAAGCGATGTACATCCAAGCCTCGCACGATCGCGTTACAGTTATTTTTAGTACGGTATTTCGGGAGGAGACAGATAGGATATTCGGGAAGGTGTTCCTGTCGGTGCGTTTTGGAACAACTTTACACCAGGATTCATTGGGCGGATTGGGGGAATTATTGACACCAATTCTATCTTTAGGAGTTTGTGGATGCTCGACGGCGGGCTATTCAGAATGCGCCTCAGGTTCTTTATCGAAATGATCCGCCGTTGGAGATTCGTAATATTCCGGGGGTGAAGGATGACGGAACTGGAGATATTGGATATATTACTTTTGGTCAGCTCTCTGTAATGGCTTGTTGGGGGATATGTGGCGCTAATTGACTACAGTCCTCTTCCCCCGCCATCTCACTCCTCAACGAAGGGAGGAATCCATATCCCACATCCAGACATTCCGTGATTACTTCCACTACCACATCAAGGCTGCAAAGGTACCTCACTCCCGATATACCCGTATGTAAAATTGGCTGGTAGCTCACAAGAACTAGGCATACATGCATTCCAGAATGCGCCGCCGCGTGGCAGACTTCCTTAAAGTCCTCAACAGAGCCAAGCCCGAAGTCGAGGAATCAGAAAAGAAAGAGAAGAAGACTGCCAGCGGAAGGAGTTTCCGTGTTCAAACCTAGGCTTTTTTAAACATTTTTTCCTTAAAGTTTTAGTGACCATGTGTTCTTTGCCCCTTGATATGTGAATGTGTTTACGGGGTGGATTTGGAGGAAAAAAAAGAGAAGGGTTTTTGTAAAGGGGGGGAAACTACTGTAGTTGATATCCTATTTCTCTCTTTAAAGGCTGATGCCGGGTTTTATAATGGTTTGAGATGTTGGTAGAATTGGAAATCCTGACCCTGTGCCTGTTGGGTGGTCTGCTGAGAAGTGGGTGATCCGGGCGACTTGGGTATTGTGGCGGGGCGAACATGCCATTTCGTATGATACCCCCACGGCCGTAAAGTTGTCATGCCCCTCTTTGACCTCAAGAACAATACCTGTTGACAGCAAGGGAACAACGAGGGTCTTTTAGATAACTACTTTCGCATATGCCTCTAGGGAGGTTGTGTGATGGACTTATGCGTCGATTTGTTTTACTACACAGTGGAGAGAGAGGATTAGCGAAACGGTTCCAAGGGCTAGTAGTTGTAACGCGTAAGGGTTTGAGAACTTTTCGGACGAGGCCGTATGATACAATATCATAGTTCGGAAGTAACCCAATCTCACAGAGCCTCCAATGAGGCATTCTCATGAAAAAGTCTGCCGGTAACCTGGCATTAAAACCTTTATGCACCTGAACTTTGAAGGGTTGATCCAAAGGTCGCGGGGTGTGTGGCCCTTTCCAACGGTTTATGTACTAGTACAGAGCAGCAAAGCGCCTGAACCTTTAAGCTCGGCTCTGCGCCAGTGCCTTTTGTAAGGCGCCCTTCGAGGGAGTCCGGTGCGCAAAGGCTCTATTGTATCATACTCTCCGCTGTCGGGGGGGGGAAAAGATATCGAGAGGGGGAAAAAGCTTTCCGAGTGATTTTGTGTGGAAAGGCATTTCTTAGTCATCAAACCGATACCCGTTACTACCTATGCTTGGTTGCCATGATACAGCAACATACTAGGGGTTTTCAAAGTTAAAATGATGATTTCTCAGTAACGAGTAAAGTGGGAGGCTGCATTAGGTTACTTTATAATGTTAGCCAATCATGTCCCCATGTTTAGTGTAGCATATTTGAATACAGCAAGGTAACTGAAGGAAAATGTGTTGAGGCTCAGGTGGTACTTACAAACATTATGTAAAGCCAGTTTTATCAATAAGAAGTCAACATCAAGAGGTTTTTACCACAGAATGTGGATAATTATTTCTACTCGTGTCAAGGTTGTAACATTTCATTACAACCTCTGATGCTCGATTTCTCGCAAACGGGGGGCACTCATACTGAGAGCCCCACAGTTCAATGTGAGTAAACAGTTCAACGTGAGTTTGTAGCTTAATGGTAACTTGTGAACCTTCACTTGATACCATATCTAATAAACAGTTATCAACCAAGTATGGTGCCGGGCATTTGAAATCAGCCCTCATAGGTAATTCAAGAAAATACTTATTAATATGCTAAGATTACAAGAGTTAGGATTATGTGCTGTAAAATCCTCTTCCCTGAGTAGAACATGCTTCTTGTTACCCTACCAATAGCTACAAACAATTCTATTCCACTCTTAATATAGAAATTTAAGTTTTCTATCTTGATACCATTGAACCCAATTCTACAAAGGCTCCAATACTACCTCCATCTCTACTCCAGATCTTTACCTTTCCTAATACTGCCTCTTAATTCTCTGCTGCGCCTTTTCTCTGAGTTGCTACCGCCTCCTGCTCTTGGAGTCACTACTGCTTCCTCCTCTCTGAGTTACTACCACTACCTCCTCTCTGAGTTACTACTGCCTCCTTCTCTGAAAATGAATACCACCTTCTCCTCTCAGAGTCACTACTAACTCCTCTCTGAATTACTACTGTCTCTTCCTCTCAGAGTCACTACTGTTGTAATAAGGGCTCCCTCTGAGAAGATGGATCCTGAGGTTGCAATCATACCAAGATGAATTCTTCTGGTAACAAATATAATAAAATTTCAAAGTTTCAGCAGTAGAGTTGGAAGAAACAAAACAGTAAAACTTAATATCATTAAGTCACAGCTTTACTCAATTAAGATCTGATTTCGAGAGATAGTTGATTGCCAGAGTAGAGGAGAACTCACATATACTTAAATAGATTTCATATACTGACAGTTGCTCCCTATTACTGCTCTGTATTCACAAGCACTCAACTCCCTTGAGCTGTCTAGCTAACCTCTACTGGTTGGACCAAAGTTCCTCCATAGCCCACTAGACTATTTTTAAGTTTGCTATTGTGTATTAACAAAACTAACCACAATTCAACAATTGGTGGCAACCTACCCCTCTTCATCACTCCACGCTCTCAACAGTACCTAAAAAATTACTCTAAATCAACCAAGAAGAAACCATTCTGCTCAATTCTTTTTTTCAATAAACTATGTCTCCTATTCTTTGCAGTCATGCCAAAAAACCTATTCTCTCTATACATCTTTCTGAGTTTACCAGGAGGAGGATTCTGGTTTACATGAGCCTCAGATGAGATATCAGCAAATTTTCTACTATCTTAATATTCCCTACACTACTGTTAGAGATATAATTGTAAAGGGACATCAAGAGGGCAAGGAGAATAAGGGTAGAGGAAGACATTCTAAAACTACCAAGTCACAGGATAATGCTATAGTGGAGGAAGCTCTTGAAAATTGCCATACTACCTATTCTGACATTACTGAGCAAGTTGCTCTCAATCTTTCAAGTAGCACAGTAAGGGGAAGGCTTGAAAACAAGTATCTTAAAAAGTAGATGGCACCAGAGAGAGTTCATTTGGATGAGAATCTAGCTCAATAGAGGTTGGAATAGGCATTGGCTTATAGGCATTGGATAAAGGAAATGTGGAGAAGGAAGACAATATAGGAGGATAAGGTAGCTGTGGAAAGAGGAGAAAATGGGTTTCCAGATACTTATATGAGAAATGGAATAAGGATTGTGTTGAACTTAAGGCTAGGAGAGGGGAGAGAGGGATTAGCCAGATGATGACTGGTTGTTTTTATAGTCAAGCTCAGGGTCTTTTTTTGCCTATTTTTCCTGATTCTTCTTCTGCTAGGAATGGAGTTACAGGGAAGTCAATTATTGATGTTTATGATCATTATGACTTTCTAGGGATATGGGAGAATATCAGAGAAAAGGGTGGAGAAGAAGAGGTTATTTTGTATCATTGACAATGCTAAGACTCACTTGCCTTTTAGGAGATGACTCAGAGTACAGGGAATTATACTGATAGAAATTCCTGCCTATTCACAAGAACTCAATTCAATTGAAAATATTTGGTCTCTGGTGAAAGGTAAGCTTCACAAGCACTACCATGAGCTATATCTTATAAAGGGTGATGTCAATATGTTCAAGAAGGTAATAGTAGAGGCTATCACTTATTGTTGGAAACTTATTAATCAAAAGGTTTTTAATACTTTAGCTAGATCAATCGTGGATAGAATAGAGGCAACTATTAAGGCTAATAGATGGTATACTAAATATTAATTACTACTATGTATTTACATCTTTTAATTTTGTTTTTTGTTTTCATGATAGTGGATTGGTAGGTGAGTGTGGTTGTCATCGCTGAAGACTTTCCTCTGTTGAATCACAGTTAATTTTGTCTATCCACAATAACATCCACCTGACAGAGGTGTTTTAGCCACTGCATCTACAATGTAACTGCAGGAGTAACAGCACTTCTTATTGTGGACCTGTCAGTGGTGAGCTGACATACCTGAGTGGATGCAGTACCAACCATGGAACTGTCTAACCATATACACTTAGTCTTCTACAAGTAGCTGCTGCCTTTCAACATCCATGTAGTTCTACTCTTTTCTATATTATTCTAGATGATGGCCAAGTAGCTCCCCTGATAGACCCCTTCAGTACTTGACTACCAATATGTACTACCTACAGCCCACCCTCTTAGAAGTAGATCTCATCATGATTTCAGACTAGTGTCTTAAAGGCCTTAAGGATTCTCTAGTACTATTACACTTTCATAGCAACCAACTTCAGTTACCTTGCCTATATGCCTCAAGTAACCTCATATGCTACTCCTAACCTCAAAGTAGTATTACTCCATCAGTTGTAGTCTATTTTACACAAGGTTATCTGGAGACCATTCTCCAGTTTCTCCTCTATCCTATTATATATTCTGAGGACAGATTCAGGTCGATTGGACAGTGTGAGCATATACAGTATTACAGGAGTATTGTAGCTATCCTGCTCTGTCATTTTTAGTTTTTCAACAGGTAGCCCCTCAACTCTTATTTCCTGTTGATATCTTGATTGCTCAGAGAACTTATCTCTTGGTTATCACTTCTGATAATGACTATCAACTTGTACTCATATTACTTCCCGTAAGCGAGACTTCTCTCTCATAAAGTGTTGTGGGAGTTATTCGTAAATTATTGATTAAACTTATAGTATAGCAAAGAACTTAAGTAGTTGCATCAGGAGTCTGTACCAGAGGTTCTTTTTTTAAAAAGAAAAACAAAAAAGCATTTAATTTCTTATTTAAGATACAAGAACATTACATACAGCACTAGCTATGGTATTAAGAAAACCTCTCTACCTCGGATCAAGAGAAACCCCATATCCCCAAGACCTTCTAGTATAGACCCAACTACATACAGTCTAAAGATGATCATGTCAGCCTGCACCATGTAGACCCGCGCCTTCACCCTGCCCTATTCTCCAGTAGCCAGAAGCAAAACTATGACCTAGAACGGCTAACATCTGCAGACTGGTGCCCGATCCTCAGAGTGTAGACTTGAATGCAGAGTGGTCTCACTGATAGCCACCTATATCCTAATAGTCCTCGGTTTAAGAAACTTCCCTGCCAGTCTCCTGTACGAGTATCTACAAATAGTAAAGACAGAAAGTCCAGAAAGTCATTTTTCGAAGCAAGGAAATCTCACATCCCAACAGTACACCCCCTACCGAACAAAAGAAAGCCCCAACCAATGAAACCCCAAACCACTAGCAGAAGCCAATCCCACAACTATAATAATAACCAAATTCCCTGCCTGACTATTGGGACAGACAATGCCAATAAAGGTAAAATAACAAATAGACATGCAGGATATGTGACGTAAACATATATCTTAGGCATACAGCCCACGGATGAGAGTTGGAGAAACTATAAGGAAAGAATGAACACAGTAAGTTGGAGGTATTAGCAAAATAGGAGCCCTAAGCCAGCTATCCTGGAGGGCAGATGGGGCTACCCAAGGTAGCAAAAAAGGGTGCGG